TGTACCTCGAATTATACAACTGGCGCCGAGAAGTTTCAGACTCCATCATCAGTTCGTCCGCATCGAGGTCCATTGACTCATGGCCATCTTTGGGGACGAGGGCACCATAAAACAAGTCATTGGTGCTAGAGGATTGTGCCGCCATGGCCATGGTGGAGGCTATGGCTAAAAGGAACAGGAAAACAAGCCCAGCACGGGAACCCATCGATATCACACCGAATGATTGAAAAAGGATTGGGAAATTTTAATTTTTTTTTTGGTCTTAATTTTTCTTCATTGGCCCTTCTTACCAATAGGGGGAGAGAAAAAGGAAGCTATTTGGTTGACAAGTGGAGGCTTATGTTGTGGAGGTTTTGAATGATGAAATATGGTGGTGAATTTGTGTGAATTAACATAATTCACGTTAGTCTTAGGGCCTTTTCTTTCTCCTTGTTTTTCTATGAGATTTGTATCAAATGTGTATATCATATTGACACTTGACTTGCCCATAACGATGCATTCTATGAATAACTATGAATCCTCGATTTTCGTTCTCATTTTTTTTCGACTTTGTGTCAAACAGGGGCGGATTCAGTATGGAGCAATTGGGTAAGATGTCCCCACACTAAATCTGAAATGCAAGATTTTGCCCTCCATTTTCGTACAAATTTTTTTTAATAGTTTTTAATTTTGGCCCACACTTAAAATTTTGTGAAATTTGCCCCCGCAACCTCGGACTCCTAGCTTCACCCTTGGTATCAAATGTCTATGTTACAAACACTTAGATCAACAAATTGCTGCTGAAATATTGGACAATTCAAGCTATTTTTCGATGAAGTTTATATCTCCTTGAAATTTGCTTCACAAAAGAAGGCTACAGTTGGCGTAGTCGTCCGTAAACTGAAATAATTAATATATGGGACGAGATTTGGTTAAGATACTTGCGTCCAATATTTCATTTTTGTTTGTATGCGTCCATAATATTTCATGTTTCCTTGTGTGCATCCATAATATTTCATGAACTTCAATTTTGATTAATTTAGTTTAATAAATTCACAATCAATTGCTTCTTTTTTTCCTTCTTTTCACTAATTCAATTAAGGTCCGTTTGATAGCCTAGAAAATGGGTGGAAAAGGAAAACATTTTCTAACTTTATCCAATTAAGGGTGTTTGATAGCACAAATTTTCATGACAAAATGTTTTTCACATTTTTCAAGGTATAATCATTTTATGCACAAAATCTTGATAAAATGGTGGAAAATGTTAGGTGAAAAAACATTTTCCAGCTTTTTTTTTTTTTTTGTTTTTGCAATGGGAACAAATTCTAGATACAATGGTAAAAAAAAATTTCACTCTTATTGACAACTTCCATGCAAAACAAAGTCAAACAAATGATATTCGGTATGGTAAATTTTTTTTAACAATTGGAACAAATTTTAGACCCAATGGTATAAAAAATTATCACTTTAATGGACAAATTCCATACGAAAGAAGCCAAATAGACACCAAACTTTCAATATTTTTCATGAAAAATTATATCAATCAAACACAATTAATTAAAATTATCAGTAAAACATTTTCTAGGAAATTCAATTCCCTGTAAAACATTTTCTTTCCATCCATTTTCCACCCTTACAATCAAACGGACCCTTATTTTAACTTTTGAAAATTAGACAAGTACATAAGAGAATCTTTTGAGAGAAATATAGATAAATAAAGCAAAGTATTGAAAGTACTCTCTTTTAATAGCTATCAAGTTCAGTCAACTTGCATGATCACTTGTACCTAATTTGTTGGGTTTGGCTCTTTTATTCCTCATTTGTGTTACTTTGGTTTGGGTGGTGGCTTTCATTCACTGTCTCACTATGAGGTAACTTAAAGAGGTATAAATATTGGCTTATTAGCCCAAAACATCCATACGTTTGGTCTTTAGTGTGCAAAACATTCATACATTTGATCTTTAGTGTGTAAAACGTCCATACGTTTCAATTTTTAACATTTTTACCCATATTTCCACGTCTTATTGTAAAAAAAACATCATTTTCCTCAATTTTCATATATTTTCTCTATAAAAATATGTGAAATGAAAAATATACCATTTTATTTAAATAAAACAAAAAGAAAAGAAAAAAATAATAATAAAGAACTAATTGCAATCATAATTAAAAATAAATAACTCCAAAGGTATTCCGAATAGTGTATCTGAAGGAGCTTCGAATTTCTGTACAGTTCACGTGATCTCAAAATCGAAAATCTCTTCGGTTGTAATTAGTTTTTTATTGTTTTTTTTTCTTTTTCGTTTTATTTAAATAAGATGGTATATTTGCCATTTCACAAATTTTTATAGAAAAAATGTATGAAAAATGAGGAAGTGTTGTTTTCCGCAATAAAACGTGAAAATTTGGATGAAAATGCAAAAAATTGAAACATAGAGACATTTAGCATACTAAATGCCAAACGTATGGACATTTATACTAATAAGCCTATAAACATTTACTAGACCTCTGTTTGTCTATCAGTTTCAATTTTTTTTTAAAAAAAAAACTCATTTCAACCACACGTTCTCACAGAAAAATATTTTGCACGTTAACTCAAAACTTTTCACTATATTTTAACCACATATTCCCAAAAAAAAAAGTTAGTTAAAAATGCTCGATAAGTCGAAGAATGTTTAAGAATTTGTAAAATTACAAATAATAAAATTGCATCTCAAGTTTAGAAGGAGGGAGGTAAAAAAAACCTAGCCCCTGTTTGGTTTGGATTAAAATCTAAATAAAATTTCAAGTCAAAATTAACAATTAATTTTAATCACACTTTATGGGACTCACATCTTTTCAATCACGCATTTCATCAACTTTTATCAAAATCTACTAAAAATCTGATTTTAATCTCTATCAAACAGTGGCTAATTTACTTATTTATATACGCTTTTCACAGTCGTTCTCTTTTTTCTTTTTTGAGAACAATATTCTTTCCATAACATGTAATATGATATAATTAGTATTTACGAAATAACAGTAATATTTAAAATCATAACCTAATTAATATAAGGCGGTGGCAGAGGAACATAAAATTGGGTTCGATTCTAAAAAAAAAAATCGGAGCAAATCGAGTACCAATAGATATTTTGAAAATTGAACCATTGATTCTATCTTTAACTATGGAACTGAATTAGAACCGAACGTTTTTTTTTTTTCCCAGCACGATTCGACTCCTTGTGTAGAGTTCTCAAATTTATTAGCCTATACGAATGAATTGTTTAACTATACAAATATTTAATCTATAATTATATAATATCTAGATTTTTCGTAATCTATTTCTTGGTATTAGAATCGAGAACCTAGCTGAAACGAGAAGATTCTCCATTTTAATATCAGAACCGGTTAGGACTTGATGGAAGTCGGATCGGACCAAACTTGCCAATCTTGATCCGAATCAATGATCCTAGTAATTTTCGCCTACTCTTACTTAAATTGTCTACCTTTTGTTTCTCATTCGAATTATGAGTTTTCTAACCTCTAAAATTTTTGATAATTTGTTTCGATGTACTTGTTCTTCGAGTTTCTTTTAACTTCACCCACATTTCCAGAACCACAACTTTATAATTTTCACTCCATTATCTCAAACATGATTTTCCTAACTCCCAAAGGGAAAGATATTAAAAAATGTCTAATATTATATTATATTGAACCTCGTGTTCCACGAGAATCAAGTACAATAATTTATACCCTACATAGATGAATAACAACCCAAGTTGTCACTCATTTAGAAGCTGTGATTTTTATTTATTTTATAAAACAAGAACTCATACAGAAATAACAAAAAAAAAAAAATTGCAATTTCAAGAGTCACCCTTTTAATAAACACGTGGAGTCCACTTTTTTAATAATATTTAAATTAGATGAGACCCACATTCATGTGACTCTTCTGTAAAACTTCTGACATGAATAGTTCTGTACATTCAGCATTATTCTTATTCTGGATCAATAACAACCCAAGTTGTCACTCATTTAGAAGTTGTGATTTTTATTTTCTAAAACAAGAACTCAATACAGAAATAACAAAAAAAAAAATTGCAATTTCAAGAGTCACCCTTGTAATATTAATTATGATGGTCATCTACAAATAAAAAGACAAGGCAACTGAGAGAAACTGATTATTTTGACTTCCAGCTTATATAGCTTATAAGCACAAAACTCATACAAGAATCTCAACAGGCTTTTGCGATGAATATGGGGACGACTCTATTCTTTTCCACTTCGTAAACTTCGTAAGCAACAACAGCCCTATAGTCTGGATTGAGAGACCACAAATTAGGCCAATCCACAATCCCTGTCACAAACAATATCATCAAGAAAAGATTACAAATTCGATTTTGTAAAATAATAGAGTTTTACAAGTAAATTGTTGGGAACCTGAAGTTTTACCTTGGCATATAGTTTAAACTTGAAACCGAGGAGAGCGGCAATTGGCATGCCAATGAGATAGAATGTTGCCAAATTAATGCACATAGCCAAATGCTGCCAACCGCATCCTCTGGCCACACCTGTAGAATCGTATAACTTTTACTGAGAAAACCGATGGTTGAACGACTGCTAGGAAGTTATAGAGATCTAGTAATCGAACCTGATAAGATTCCTTGGATAAAATCACATAATATAGACGCCAAGAGAAAGGGTGTCATTGTAGCATATGCATTGATTATAACTGAACTGTCACTGAAGGAGCTAGCCCACAAGTTATGACCAAAAGCGAGAGCTAAAATGACACAGAGTGCAAGAAGAATAGTTAGCTTTAGTGTGACAATCATGGCACGCTTAGCTCGGTCGGGATTTCCAGCTCCCAACTCGTTAGACACCCTTGTGCTGCAAAAGTAAATACCCAAGTTACTAATAGTAATGATGTAGTGGACAGAGAGATCGAAAAGCACAATGTTTTCTCAATAAGATTACCTTGCAGCAGCACTGAGTCCATAAGCAACCATGTAGGCAATGGCTTCTGTATTTACACTGGAAACATAGTTTTGGACAATTAGTAAGTACGCACAACAAAACGAAGGCTACAGAAGGGCGAAAATAACGGAATACAAACTTACCACATTGCTATTAGCGAAGTAGTAACTTCTGAGTTTGGCATCAGTCCAGCCAACAAAACCAGAATCTCGAAAGCCCAATACTCCAAACTGATTAAAATGTGTAGAAAATAAGTTCACTCAGATATTGAATTTACGTATTACATATTACTTGGCTATTGTTTGGGAAGATCAGTTGGAATATGAGACTAACCACACCATAGCTGCTGAAGGTAGGGCTATCTTCAAGTTCGAGAAGATGTGACCTAAAGACTCTGACCGGAATCCCTTCCACGTGTCCTTAAATTTCTTTGCTTTAAGCACATACATGCCTAGCATAAGGACCGAGATCCACAGTGAAATTGAAGCTGCTAATGGTGCTCCTTTATATGCAAGTGCAGTCCAATGAACTAAAGCATAGGCGATGCCAATATGGAGAAGTAGAGGGAGCAACGAGCACACAACCAACGGAACAACAACTGATTGTGTCTGAAGAAATCTTAAAATATTTTGCAAAAACCCATATGCAAGTAAGCCAGGAATGAGATGCTTCAAGTAGAGACCAGCTGCTTTCGATATCTGAGGGTCTTGTTGTAGAAAAGTCAGAACGATATCGGAATACCACCAGAGAACTGATACAGCAATGGCAAAAATGATGGTTATAATACAGGACGCCTGTAGGTATATTCCAAGCATCGTATACTGTTTTGCGCCATATCCTTGGCCGCATAATGTCTCGAGTGCACCACTCAAGCCAACCTAGAACGTCCAAGTAAAATTTTCAATCCGATGCTAGCCAGTTCACAGAAGAAGTACAGAAACAAGATATCAGCTAGAAGTTAGCATAAGCTTTCTCCTTTATCTTTTCGCATTTGAAATTTTCTGAGCCATTTTTCAAATTCCTTTGTTACTGAATTGTAACAAGATAAAGAATTCGGGCAACACACACTTCGACCCATAAATGTATAGCAATCTAAATCATGTACTAATCAACTTCTAATTAATATTTATAAGAGCCTAACTTCTATTTCAATCTTGCGATGAAGGAATAATCTCTGATATATTGAAGCTGAAACTGCTTAAATAAAAAAGTAGAATCACATCATTTTCTCGAAAAAACGCACTTCAAAAGACAAGAAATTTGATCAAATAAGTCAATGAAATCTTCACAATCCATATAAAGTCAATTAATTTATGTTCTTGGAGAGTTACCATAAGAGCGAAACCAGTTACAGCAGCCCATGAATTGGCAAGATTAGAGCCAGCGAGCTCGAGGTCTCCGAGGTGGCCGGCGAACATTACAGAAACCAAAGGTATGAAATAGTAGGCAACATTGGTCAAAATCATGGGCAGTGCGAAGAGAATCTGATCTTTAGCCTCATCCACATCAATAATCTTGCTCCACCACCTCTCCGCCGCATTGTTTTTAAGCAGAGGTTTTTTCGCCGCCTCTGCATCGCCGTGAGAAGACATTTTCGTGGTTTCACCTACCCACTAGCCCAATTTCCTCAATCCTCACCAGTCTCTCCGCTTTTTTCTTGTATATATAAATAGAAACGAAAATGTTTATAGTCACTGTCCGTGACAGGCGACAGCTTCTGCGTACACAGTCATTTATTGAGGAAATGTTTGTGGCACGAGAATTGAATTATAACAAAAAAGTAAAAGATGAAATGCTAGGACGAGAATTGAAATCTAATTTGTCATCTACCGAATCCAACTACCAGTCAAATTCCGATTTCAAACGTCATAAAACCTACTAGTCGTATTTAATTTTACTGGATTGACACAAGGCATGCTCATGTTTGACATACATTTTTCCAAAATTAAATTCATTTTGCATCACACCGTTTTCAATAAAATAATGTTTTTCACCACATTAATAACTTTTCATTACATTTTAACCACATATTTTTTATCATATCACTATTTAAAATACATTATTTCTTCAATAATATTCATTAAATACACCCAAAATTTTGTTGATATCAACCACTCTTATTTAACCGTAACATGAAAATATTTGAGGCTGGGACAATCCCAAAAAATTGACTACACAAGAAGTTAGCTCTTGTTTCGTGAGTATTAAAATTAAATTTATAGTGAATTTTGATAAAAATTGATGTATTGTGTGGAATCTGTTAAGAGATAGAATCTCACATCGAATAAAAATGTAAACATAAACCAACTTAAAAAGGATTGGGTTACCCTCTTATATTAATTGACCTTTTAAGATTGAACCACAATTCTTAACATGGTATTAGAGCTCATTAAGTTCTAACGATCAATTCGATCTGATTAAGGGGGTGTTTGACACTCATTTTAATAGAAATATGTGTTTTTGAATAGTGATTGATGAAAGAATGTGTGGTTAAAAAGTAAAGAGAATTTTTAGGTTTACGTGTAATATTATTTTATTAATAGAATGTGTGACTAAAATGAAGAGAGGGGAAAAAAATGAGAATGAGAAAAAAATGGGTGCCAAACGGGGGCTAATACTCCAAAAGTGAGCTTACAGATTTCAAGATTGGTTTGTTCAAATGAGCCACATCTTACGGGGACATGTTAAGGGATAGAATCTCACATCAAATAAAGATATAAACATAAATCAACTTAAAAAAGATTGTATTACTCCTCTTAGTAAAGTTGATATTTTAAGATGAAATCTCAAATCTTAACAGATTCCATAAAATATATTATTACAATTAATTCTTGACTTTAACTTAAATTAAAATTTAAACTTTAATTTCTATCAAACAGAGACTTAATATGGCTCGGTCTTTATTTGGTATTTTCATAATTCCAGCCTACTTATATTTCTTTCGTCCAGGGTTCAGGCGCGGCTTATTTCACATTATTTCAACAAGAAAATGAATTTTTGACCATTTTTTAAAAAAAAGTGGAGCCTACTATGACACAAAATGGTCCATTGTTGCTGTAGCAACGATAAAAATTCTGCATAACAGGGGAAACAAACCGGGGCTCAATATTATTAAATTAAGCACGTGAAACTGCGTGGTCGATGGGGTTGGTGAGACCTGCTACGTTCTCTTAAATAGCCAATTATTATTTGGTCAGTACATTTTAATTACAATGTTTTCGTTGGGAGAATTTTTCAACAAAAAAAAAAAAAAGCAAAAATAATCCTAATTTTAGCCCCTCGAATATGCAAAACGTAATATTTTTAAAGAATGTGTAATTAAAAAGTGAAAAAAAGAGTTCACATACAACACTATTCGTGGAAGAATATGTGGATAAAAATGAATTTAAAGAAAAATAAAGTAATCAGTATTGAAATTCTTGTTTTCCATGTTTGCTTTAGACAAAGTGATTCTCAATTTAAGCCTTGGTTCTTATTATTTTCAAAATACATTTTTATTTTTCTTATTTTAAATCACAAGTTCTTCAATAAAATAATATTATATGCAAAATTTTAAAAAAATCTTATTTTTTAACCCCGCATTCTTCATCAAAATAATATTCCTAAATAGACTTTCAACAAAAAAAATGAGGCTCAAACATACTCTAAATAACGTGACTCAAACTAGGCTACACAAAAAAATAATGATATTTGCAGTCGTTCACTGCAGCAAGTCTCCTTATGTGGCACACACATGTCAAGTGTGTATTTAATACATTAATATTGTCAAAAAATTATCACATTAATGCATCAAATAACTACATGTTATGTGTGTAATACATATGACGACTGCTACAGTGAGCGGTTATGAATAACATTACACCAAAAGCGTTTAGTGTTCAATAATATCCATTTAAACATGTCCAACTCCTGGGGATGATACATTCACCTTCTCCGGAAACAACCATTCTCATTAGTTCGTTGCCTACATTTCGTTCCAAGTAATACTAATTTACGAGCATTTTCTTGACATCAATGTCTTCTTAGTTGATGAAGCTTTGTCATTTTTGCCAAGAGATTGCTTCCCCTTTCAACTAACGTCGCCTTGGTCATCCCTCCATGGCCAGAATCGGCGAGAAGTTGTGCTTTAAACGAGGATGATCGAGTAACGGCCATTACGAACTTGTAAATGAAGACAAATGACCTATAGTGAAAACTTTTGTGGAAAATATAGAATAGAATCTGAATTTTTTGGGATTTAGTTGCTACCCAAAAGAATCTGACGATTCAAATGAGCAAAAATGAATCTGGGTGAACTCCGAAATATTATGCAGAATAGTTTGGCAGCTGAAGATTGCGTGAAACTGTAAAATTGAAAATACTAACTAATTGACCCTCGATCCTATCAGATCTGGGATTTTTCTCCAAATAAAAAATGATCATGATTGAGAAAGACCAGTCTCGAATTGAGAACTATCCAATCATTATTGTTAAATTAGTACATTACAAGTTACAGACTGATATTAAGAAAATGGCACAAGCACAAACTCATTAGAGCTTATGAAAATGCTGAATGGACAAATGACAGCAAAATAACAAAGCAAGAATCCCAAGCCAATTCTGGTGCTCGAGGCTTTCATAAAAATTCTCATATAATCGAGAAGAAATACCAGTTCAGTCACCCTTGGCAACTTCTTTCTCCTTTGGTTTGCCCTTTTTGGGCTTCATGAAGCAGAAGCATGAGCAACATGGACACTGGAATAAGAACTTCATAGCTCTCTCACCCTTTACTGGTTTGTGTCTCAATTCTCAAATGGTTCTCAAAACCAGTATGTATAGGAAAACTGGAAAAGTAAAGCTGTGCTTTTTATTTACTTTTATTTTATTTTAAAAGTAATAATTACATGACTTTTATCACGGGATTCCATTTCAATCGCTTTCAATTAGGAAGATGCCTGCCTATGGAACAAGACAGCTATATGAATTGCAATTATGGTTTTTTCCCATTTCCATCATGATAATGAACATGAGACATGTTTGGCTAGTAAATAAAAGTTATACTCAAGTCTTCCTAGTTTTCAAATATGTTTACTCTAGTCTACTTGTATATAAACACCTATAACTGAAACTTTTTATGTTCAGCCAAACACGCTCTTGAATGGTACCCTCGAATAGGCCAACTATAATGGGCAATGGCCATTTGCAGGGCCACTCACACCAGAAAAAGTGGGGTGCAATTTGTCCCACTCGAAAGATTTCTAGGCTGGCAAGCAATAAGCAATGAGAATTATAGCTAAGGGTGGGTTGAAAAAACCTATCAAGATTATTGATGGGTCCACCCTAGAGCGGCTCAGTGCAGCCACTAGGCCAGTTTGCTCCCTGCTTTCTCAAGTTAGCAAAAATTTCCACACTGATCTGAGAATGTTGTTCAAACGATTGAACGCATATTACAATATCAATTGGCTTCTACTGATGATTCCTGTCATATCGTAATACAAAATTCCAGGTCTTATGAGCTGAATATTGGTTTGGACAAGCAATTATTATATTGCAGTGTAATTCGATCCAAAGGTCGACTTGCACCTAAGATTACATGACATTATGCACAATACTAAAAAGTAAGAACAAAAACATTCAGACACCATTGGGTTTTACGATCTTGACAACATGGAAATTTAGAATATTTCTTTCTATATTCTACAAATACCGAAGAAAATTGAAGATAAAACACTAGCGTAGACATCACACACTGCCCTATATTTAACATGAAATTCACCAGAATTTTTATTAGCTGAAAGTCTTAAAAAGGTTAAGATTCTCGGAGGATCGGCAAACGGAAGTATCATCCGAACCTTAAAACGATACAGGAGATATCATCGGTGCTATTCCGTGCAAGTGCCTCTTCACTAAGGCGCTTAGCTGCTGATTTAGGATCTTTTATATTCTTGATGCAATCAACTGCCTCCTGATTGTACATTACCTGCATCGTGTTGACCAAATCAGATCTCTAAAATCTACACATACAAAAGAAAGACGCAGAGAATTATAGTGAATGCAATAAAAAACAGATGAAGTTAAGGAAGCTATAATGAAGTATATTCAACAATATAATCGCACTGTACGCGCGCAGCAAATACAACAATGTAAAGACAGAAATAATGAATGAGTTCAAAAACATAAATCCCAAGAAACTGGAAGTACTTACCTTCCAAATGCCATCACTGGCCAAGATAACAAACTCAGTTTCATCATCAATAAACTCGACCATTATATCTGGTTCTGAGCTAAGGTGTTCTTTCAAGCATTTATCACCAAATGCCCTTGCTACAGCTAACTGGCCATCAACACGTGGAACATCGCCTGAATTATATGGTCAAAGAGGAAAAGTCATATGGGAGGACCTGATCCTGAGACATGAATATTACAAGGGAGTACTGACCTTCACAAGTAGTTCATAGCAATTTACAAGGTCAGTTTCTTCTTTCCCATTTTTCAAAAAAAAAAATTCATGCAACAAATAAACATCAATAACATACCATTCAATAAGAATCACAAGCTTAGAACTATAATACGACAGCCTGAACATTGATAATATAACAATTTTATAGATAAAAAAAATACTTCTTCGATTTTTATATTTATTCCCCCTTTTGAGGTTTTCCTCTATTTCTTCACTTTTCTTCTGTCATTGTCAAGCTAATAAAGGAGTAGTATTTAAGTTATATGAAATCAAAATCAAAAGAGACACTTGCCCAAGATGTGAAAAGTTGTTGCAGCAAAAGCCCTCCAAATTATTTAACTTCATACAATTTTACCTACCAGGAAATTTTGTTACAAAGCCACCTCTGCTCTCAATGTTGTCCCTTTCTTTGTCAGGCTCATGATCAACTGATAATTGTTTTGCCACACCATTCTTGGAAATGACGGCACGAGAATCTCCAACGTTAGCAATTACCAGCTTCTCGCAGTTTATCAGAATTGCAGTAACAGCTGTTGAACCCCCTCTACCCAGATCCTTGGCTTTCTCCAAAATTTTGGAATCAGTGATCCGATACGCTCGTCGGATTGCTGTCTCCGTTGAAGTCCAAAAGTCAGGCTATTTATTGCCAGAAATGAAACCATACAGAGTTAGAAGTGGTGCAGTCCTCGTCCAGAATTAAATAGAAAAGTCAAAAGCGAGGATGGAGTCGTCTCTATTACATAATTAATCTAGTATGAAGTTTTGTTTAATTTGTTTCTTTTTTATCTTCGTTATGGGAGAGAGAGAGAGAGAGAGAGAGTAGGAGTCAAATGACTTGTGCTTAATTTATGGATTAAGGAGAACAAAAAGTTCATAACAGTGCAATTCCAACATCTTCAGTAGATTGTATCTATCATATTTACCTCTTTCAAGATGTTATCAAACAGATGAGACTTCAAATAATTTGGTATATCTTTGCTCAAATGACCATCAAATATTGCAAATAGACCTAGCTCATTGTCCCCAACTTCTTTGAATTGTGCAAAAACATAATCTTCCATGCTATGACCTGATTTTCCTTCAACCAAATGATAGCCATGTGTCGTCTTCTTTGACATCTTACTCTTTCCTTTTCCTGTGTCAAACGCAGGTGGACCTAAACCCACCTTTTCCTGCAAATTACAACAACCTTACCTTACCTAAACAGTAGGAAGTCTTCAGAAAAATTATTTACTCATCTCATACGCTGGGATGGAGGAAAAATCACAGATGCTAATAGGCTCTCACCACTGGCAGACATAATTAAAAGTAGCGGCGGAGCCAGGAATATTATTTAGTGCGAGCACTATTTAATCAACTCCGAACTTTGAGTTTTTTGCCTTGGATTTAATGATGATAAAAATATAAAGAATATTACGACAATACTAAAAATGACATAATTTATAAATTACACTTGCTCCTTACAAGTTTTCATACTTTGGTGTCGTTGTACAATGACTTCATTATCAGTTTTCAAAAATATATCTTTTTTTTATATAAACAATTGTGCTATCATTCATCTATTGATCAAACATCCGGTTACACAATCTATCATTTACAATACTTGTTGCAGAAAATATTGCGATAGCAATTGTGCTATCATGATCTTTAGGCTAACAAAGACCCTTTACCATATATAATCTTCAAACTTGATCTCGGATATTAGCTAATCCAAAATTGGTATCCTTAGTCCAGATGGAATTGTGTAACATCAAAATCTACTTTATTCGATATCTCTCCATCAACATTTCCTACAATGGACTCCATTTCAAAGAATCTCTTCATTTGATACCTAAAGAAAACGATAAATGATAGTGCTCATAGAAAAAAAATATCCTACAGAACCAATTGTTAATGTTTTTGCACTTAATCAATCAGCCTTTCAAGTCAAATCAAGCAAAATCTATTCTCAATTGGGTCAATTCTATGTACCCAAATCACTAAATCAACTTCCATACCATTACCATACATTCAAATCATACATATATTAACAACTTTGCTCAAATTCATTAAGTCAAACATATTACCCACACAATTGAATCTCTGTTCAAATATTCAGAAAATAAGTGCTCAAATAGAGGTAGAACAGATTTATTTGGCATAAAAATATATAGGGACCTTCAATTCAAGGATATAGACTCCATATTCAGGGACCAGGCTGGAGAGCGTCGAGCAGAGAGTTGGAGATTGAGAAGCTGACAGAAAGTGGATCTGGGAATTTCGTGGTTTTAATTTCAGCACATATGGGTCAATTTCTGTTTCAATTTTTTTTCCCTTTGGGCTGGATAAGTGGAAGGTCCAATAGGCTACTCAAAAAATGAAAGAGTTGGGTTAGGCCCAAAATTCCAGTGCAGGCCATGGCCTGCAATGGTCCTTAGCTGCCTTCACCCTTGAATTTAAAAGAAACATATAGTGCAACCGTATCTCATTGAAAATGAGGTGTTTAAGTTGTCATAATAAAGGAAGGCTCTGCATGATCAACCATAGCAAATAAATTAACGGAAAAGAAGCAAAAAACGGGGAAAATACTATCCAGTATTAGTCCTCCTAGTGCAAAGCAGTGTCTAAATTAAAAGTGTAAACCCAACAATTGAAAAATGGTGATTCTGCAATTTATAACAAAAGCTTCAGGGCTAAAGTCCACATAACATTATATGTTACATTGTCAATGGACTGAATCTCCCCTCTTTTTATGCATTCTTCTATGAGTCATGCTAAGAGAACACGCGTTAGCACCATAACACCAGTCCGAGACGAACTCTAAATTTGTGTCATGGATGACAAACAAAGTGCATGCAAGGTTCAGCTGATTAAGATCTTCTTAGAAGATATCAGTACTTGATGCCATTGCTGTTATCTAGAATTAGGCATTATAGCTACAATGACTTCATCCCAGAAAAACAGCAGGCCTTCCTGTGCCTGTCGTTCACCCAATTAATCTCAAGCATCCTGGCTTCCAAGACAAGAATTCCTTGTAAGTGGCAAATCAAAAGCTCAAGCAAGTAGCCTAAACTTAAGAGGATAGCCCCCTTAACCAAATGAATTTTATCAAAACGCCTAGTGATTGAGAACATCAAGCCTGTAGCTTTGTTTTATATTGGACACACAGTCCATCATAATCACAGAGCAGTAGATATCACTTTGATCCACTTGATGCAGAATGGGAATAAGAAAAGGATAGAAAAAAGAGGGAGAGAAGAGCAGTAGAACTTCGGAGAGAATTTTAGAGAAGAATTCGAATTATAGTCATATATTAATTCGATCTCTACATTATGAGAAATTTTGGTCGCATTTATATTTAAATTTCCTAACAAAAATAAAAAGTGCCCCTCAAAAAAAAAGAAGAAAAACCACAAGTTCATATTAATAATCATGACTAGAAAATAAATTGCAATCAAGAGAGTATCTTTGGTGAAACTTCATTGACATCTCCCCCTGGTTCCTCATCCCTGTCCCTCACGTCAAGAAAGGTGACTCCAGAATACATATCAGTCAGTCTTGAATGCATAGAAAAAAGATATTGCTCGGTATGTGGTATTGTTAGTGTCAGGTGGTACTAGAAATATCTGCAGGAGAATGTAGAAGAGGGGAAAACAAATAACAACAATAATTTGATTGATCCATTTTATCACTATTATAGCTCATTAATCAATACAAAATACAGATCAACGGAACGACTTTCACTTGTAAATATGCACCTAAATCACAGCAACACTAAAAAAAGCGGATTTTTCCTATGTAAAACAAATTAGTCCGCCATAAACTAATTAACATTGTTTCAATTGTAACAACACAGATCGCCAAATCCACTAATGATTCAAGTTAAACTAATTATCATAAAAAAAAATTACAATGTCTATTTACTTAATAAGACACAGCACATTCGTAATTAATCTATCATAGTGGTGGCTGATTCAGAATTACAGATCCACAAATAATTTAAGCAATGCCATAAATCATTGTGTTATGCATCAATCATCATTATTATTCACTAAACACGAAATTAAATGCATGTGTAAGGGAAGAATCTCTTATAGGTACCTTCATCTTGTGGAGGATTTCCTTGCCAGTCATATTTCTAAATGTGAATACAATTTATAAAATGTGAGATTGAAGAATGCCCAATGAAATAGTGCCAGAGAGATTGAGAATCAAACCAAAATGCTGCGATGAGAAGGAGAAATGGATAGAGATAGATGGGGATGGAAATGCATTGTGAATCGAAAGAAATGACATCTCCTCTGGAGTGGACACGTCCCAGTTTCGCGTCGAACGTGTCGCCACAACCCTTACTCTTCTGTTTTTTCAACCTTTAATACCAATTTATAAATTGTCAATTTTTTCGAAAATACGTAATTAAAAATTATTAGGCAAATTGTTGTTAAACGACCTCTCCCGGGCAATGATATAAGTATTATTTTTATTCAGTCGGCTTCGACCAAATGACTGAATATATTTTCGACACCGCAGTTGACTAAACCGATCACGTAACCCACTTGGGCCATTCGAAGCAGCCTAATTACACTAGTGCTGCTCATGGCCCAACCCAAATGGCATAGATTGCTTTACGTTGCTAGCCCACTCGACTATTATCCTATTGGGCCTATATTTTCGACACCGCAGTTGACTAAACCGATCACGTAACCCACTTGGGTCATTCGAAGCAGCCTAATTACATTAGTGCTGCTTATGGCCCAACCCAAATGGCATAGATTGCTTTATGTTGCTAGCCCACTTGACTATTATCCTATTGGGCCTATCACTTGTCCTAAAGCCCATTCCTAAACTTAACCTATTTATACTATGCCCATTATTGTTGGTTCTAGTGTGAAAGTGATTGAGGCGCCATTTCTTTCTTCCTGCTTCATGCTCTTGAAGGCTTTGTGCTTTCTATTGTTGAATAATCTGTTTCTCTTCCATTCCTGTGTGGTTAACATATCTTGGGCCTAATCCTTTCATCCTCTAGTGTGTGTGGGTATTAGAAACTAAAGCTACTGTTCTTGCCAAACTGGAAGTGACGGTTTGTAGTGTGGTTTTGGTCACTGTGGTGGTGTTCGATCATTACTGAGCCCGGTTTCAAGGTGCAAAGCTAGTGGTTTATCTTCACAAAAATGAAGAGAAAAATGAATTTTAAAGAATGAAATTCAAATCGGACTTCATTTTGATTAAGTGAATTCATAATTTATTATTCACTTATTCATTACTCATTTTTATGTATACTAGGTGCAAGTAACGTGCAATGCACGTTTGCTTAGTTTATATTTAATATTTTTGTTTAATAATTAATTTTTTATTAATAAAGATGTAATTTTTTTTTGTTAATTAAGGGCGTATCTGAGCGCGCTGCAAGGAGGAAGGAAAATTGATTATGTTACCTTTTTTTTTCAAATCTACAGCCCTACAGCGAGAGAATTGGTCCAAAATTACGGCTCCCAACGACATGAATTGTGTTGCCAATGGCTTGATTTCTGCTGAAAAGTAGAAACGGACACCCTATAAATAATTAATGATGTAATATTTATGTAATTGATAAATAATTAGATGTGTGATTTTGATATTGTGATGTAAGTTGGTGAGATTGAAGAAAATAAACAAAAATAGACAAATTTGGAGAAATGGCTAAATTGTAAGGGATCTAAAGTTCGGGGGCTAAAATGTAAATACTTAAAAGTTGTCCCGAATCTCACGATGAAGATTTGAGAGTGCTCGGAGTCAATTGGATAAAGTAAGATGTCAAGGGGATCAAATTTAGTCAAAAGATGATCACAAATCAATTTCCAATCGAAAAGTTATGCTCCGGTGTTTTAGTCTCATATTGAGACCTATTTTTG